CATCACCACCATGAAAGGAAATACAAACATTATTTTGCAGCTGAGTTTTCTCTAGTAACAGAAACTTTTATCATGCTCAGTTTTAGAACAAATTCCTTCATTAGGAATTAGAAACACATTCAGTGCATTTTTGAATATATTTTCATGACCTCTTAAATTATAGATACATCTGAAGAAGGTAACAGTAATCTTTAGCGTTTTGATTGCTATGGGGCCTTTGACTTGAAATAGGATGACATCTTGATTAATAACAAAACTCATTCAAAACCAACCTGACAAACATTAAACAGATTAGAAACTGATTGAAAACTGGGATGAAAACAATGATAAATAAGAAATCAACACTGAACAGTCCTACTTCTGTGCATTTTCTGCATAGGGAAGAACAGTTGGTGCTGTACTATTCAGGTATTTTTCGGAGATTTGTTTTTAGAAACATCCTAGGAAACAAAATTGTTGCCACTAAAGTTTGCAGATGCCACAAAAACTGTGATTCATGAAATAATGGCGAGCACTGGTCACTGTTGCACTGCAGTGAAGCGTGGGGACAGACATGGAAGAACTACAAGAGGAGGCGATAGAGGCAGAGCAGGAACTTACCATAGGAGCGGTGTCTCTGAAAAAACACCTAAGTCATGGTAGAAAGTCACCAGAGCTTGGATCCTAATGGGAACTGTGGCCAAGAGGGCTCATTTAGGTATATAAACAAGAATATGAAGTGCTGGTAGAGAAATGATATCATCTTTGTATTTTGTGCTTGTGTGACTGCTACAGTGGGGTTTCCGGGTCTGGGATCTGCACTTCAGTAAAAAGAAGACAAATTGAAGGGGGCACACAGAAGAGCCACAGACTAATTAAAGGATTAGAAAAACATGCTTTCTGCAGAAAGACTTAGGAGCCCAATTTATTTAGCTTATCAAAGAGAAGGTTAATGGGTGATATGATCAGTCTCTAAGTACCTACGAAAGAAATAAAAATTTGATAATAGAGGGCTCTTCAGAGCAGGAAAAAAGATTTAACAAGAAACAATAGATGCTAGGTGCTGCAATGAGACACGTTCAGACTGAAAATAAAGCACAGTTTTCTTTGTCAAACTGTGATGACTGTTGTCTGCTCCCAGACTTAAGGAAGAAATTAAGACAAGGAAGTTTAATGACTCTATTAAGAGGAGTTCGTACCAGAGAATCACAGTGGTAGCTTCTGGATGTTGATGAGAAATATGTTTCTTTTAAAGGATCAGTCCTGTTGGATCTGAATACACTGGCTGCAGTTTGGTAAGGGCTTAAGACTTGCTCTGTTCCTGAAGTGTCCTTGTCCTAATGGGACTACTCGTGTGAATCAGCAATGGCATGCTCAGTGCTGGCAGGGTTAAACCTTTCTGTAGTGGTATTAAGTTATACCAGCACTAAAAGTATTTTCCAGAGCAAGTTGCTTGGGGGATGTTTTTCTGATTCCAGACCAGTGGCCTCCAGCTGTGGGTCACTGTGTGGCTGCAGGAGCCTGCTGCCCCCATAGCTGAATGGTGGCACCTGGAAGCGGCTGAGAATACCTTGTCTGCTTCACTGACCCCTCGGCCCACATAGCCTGCTTTCCATTGCCTTGGGCACTCAACATGGGCTGATAGCTTCTCTGGCATGCTTCCTAGGCACAGGCTACTTACCTCTTTAATGGAAATGAGGCCTCTCCAACAAACGAACATCAGCCCCCTCGACCAGATCTGATCCTCAGTAGCGTAAAAACACCTCTCCAGTGCTTCTAACACTGTTAAAGGGCACAATATTAGTGCTTTCTATAGTGGTCCTCTATCTGCTGAAGACTTTTATAACCTTTTCTTTCAGCCCCAAACTTGCTACTTAAGTAACCTGAGTAAGACACTGATAAAAGTAATAAAGTAAATCTCATGCATGTTTCTCTGTCTCAGCTTTTCCATCACTTACTAAGAATTGGGACTTAATTCAGAGGTGCGCAGTATCCATTCCTTTGCTCCTGCTCTGTCTGTTCTTCCCTGTTGTACACAGGCTTCCTTCCTTCCACTTGGGCTAATTGCCAGGTCAAATGGGCTTGCTTTCTCTGTACTTCTTTTCCACTCCAAGCTTCCTGTGAAGCTCTGTGCATCTGCTCGAGATCCACACAGCTTTTGTAATGGTAAGGGATAGGATGAATGCTTTGATTTCACTTTTATATATTAGTTCAATATATTTATATATTTGATCAATATATAACTTGCAAAACATCAGCACTCATTAAAGCAGTCAGGGAAGAGACAGTTCTCCTGACTTCAAATCATGGTGCCTAAAATTTCCATTTAAATGGTTGATCAGAAAAGTTTACCTGCTATCTGCTGTGCTGGTCAAACAAGTCTGTGACATGACCAGCATTAGCAAATGGTGGATTGTACACGCACTGAGACCTTCCATAATAATAATAACCTTACAATACCAAAAAGACAATATAGGATAATTCTAGGGAGATTTCCCAAGTCATGTTAATAGGGTCCTGAATCATCTTTGCACAGCAGTCCTTTATTAAACTATCTTTCATTCCTATTCTTTAATGTAAATGGGAGATTTCACTGTTCTTTTCTCTGGAACTAGGTTCTGGTTAATGATATGAAAGTAGCTTTTTGTATGCAAAATATATTTTAGCCCATACACCCTCTTATCCATACCTCATTCTTCAGGTTATTTCTTTGGTAAGATGCCTGTAATTTAGTGGAAGTAATAACAGGCTGTGTGCATTATTCTGGATTTTTAAAATTCTAATTTAAGCGATAAAGATTTTATACAATATCTTGAGGTTCCATGACACATAAGAATTGAAAGAGGAGAAATGGAAGGAAATGACAAATCTGTTCTGTTTTCTTTTTCCATCCTTGTTTATGATTTTTCACTCATCAAGTATTTCTCAACATGTGGTTTTCAAGAAGCAGGGTTTGATTAATGAAATGTCAGATACAGGGGATGTCATGAAAATCTTGGCATTTATTGTTTACAGCATTTAAATTAGCCATAGTATTTCCAATATTCCTTATTTATTATTTAGTATAAATTCTGTTACAGTAAGTATGAATATATAGCAAATTTTGATCTTTAGACATCTGCAGGAAGTTGATATTTATACAAAATGATAGAGCACTCTCTTTATTTTTCGATATCAGTTATGCAGATTTGGCATTTTTATGAAAATCCTTTTTTTTTAACTCAAGGCAAAAAACTTTTTTTTTTAATGCAAGATATCATGCAATTTCATTGTAATTTCATTTATTGAGGTAGCCTTTCATTAGCACTGCTGATAATTTATTATTTTCTTCAGGATGTAAACATTTAAGTAGTAGAATAATTTTTTAGAAACAGAATGCTTGTGAAGCATGCTAGACTACCAAAGCACTAATAGTTTCTGTGATGTAGATGCTCAGGTTAAGGCGATCAAAATCATTTTACATAGGGTAATAGACAGCTACTAAAGCCTAGCTAGAATTACAGTTTTGGCAACATCAGCAAGTAAAATAGTAGTTTAGTTATTAACTCCTTATTTCTTAATTTCTTTGCTCATCTGAAAATCTGTATAATAGATAATAGATTTAAATTTTATCATGTCTCCAAAAAAGCAGGCATTCCTCTGTTCTAATTTAACTGAGAAAAACTCAGATGAGAGACACTGAAGTAGGATGTTTCTGGTAGAGTTTTATGCTGGATTTGTGATTTCCTGTTGGTATAAATAGTGGATGTTTTATATTCATATCCTTTCTTTGGTGCACTTATGTGACATATTTAGGAACTAGTTCACTCCTGTAGAACTGTAGAGCGATTTTTCACTCTTGATGCATCCTACTTGAGCGTCAGTCTTGGCATTGGACTTTGTGTGCTAGCAGTTCTGCCTATTGTTGAGTGGCTCTTGCATTAATGGGATCTGTACAAAAGGAGGAGAAGAAAGAAGGATGTATTTGATTTAAACTACTGAATTGTCTGTCTTTTACATTGCATCCCTGAGTAAATTAAGTGTATCCTCCAGATAATGGTGTTTCTTGCTTGTTATTGAAGAACTTTTCCTTAGCCACGTTAAAAACATAACCCTTGCTTTTACTCTGCTCCCTTGTTGTGTTATTCTTGTCAGAACGCGTTGTGCTGTTTGACAAAGTATGCGCTATTTTCACCATACGCAAAACAACACTTCAGTCCCACTATGTCAGTTGAAACGCTTGTGATTCAAGAATTGGATGATACCTGTTCCTATCTTGTGCAGAGGTATTTGGAAGGCTTCCCAGTGACTTTTCAGCAGGCGCTTAATGTGATTCATAGTGCTCTGGGATAGAGTCACAGATGTGAAGGAGAGCTGCTCCATCATCAGTTCCATGTTCATATGGGATCAGGTTATAGTCCCTGGACGGAGGAGGTAGCCAGGTTATTAAATTCACACTACATTTGCTCTCCGACAACATTTCCAAAGCTGGCAGGAAATTTGTTGTCCTGAGAGATCTTTAAAAAGCACAAAAAGTAACAGCAAGTCTAGGCTCCCTTCTGTCTCTGATTAAAAAAATCCAATGTGTTTTTTAATGCTATTTTTTAGTGATCTTTTAAATAGCTATTTAATTGCATTGTCTCTATTGAGACCTCTATGAATGTATGTAGCGTGTGAGCCCTGGATGTCTGGGTTTGTATGTATGCCTGAGATGATGCAGATGGTAGAATATTTCCTTGAAGCTAATTAATATGACTTTTAAAAAAATAACAAAAGAATAGAACAAAATAACCCTAACTCTTAAATGAAACTGGCTGTTTCTCTATACAGACTATATTGCTAATAGTGTATAGTGCTAATAATCAATAACTATTGATTTTTTTTCAATTTACTGTAATATTTCTTTGGACAAATTGCATTGAATTTAGACTGTCATCTGTGGAAAGTTGCTGCAACAAATTCAGCTCTACAATTTAAATCCTTTCTTTTTTTTCCGCTCTCTCTCTTCTCCTCTCCTTCCCTCCCCTCCCTTTCCTCCTTAGGCAGCCAAGGCCAGTTTCCACTTACACAGAATGTCACTGTTGTTGAAGGGGGAACAGCAAATTTGACCTGCAGGGTCGATCAAAATGATAACACCTCCCTCCAGTGGTCAAATCCAGCTCAACAGACGCTGTACTTTGATGACAAGAAAGGTAAATTGTTTCCTGAACTCATGGTTCTGCATCATTTTTCTGGGAAATAATTGCTTAAAACCCTTTCCACTTAATATTTTAATGTGACAATATTTGCCAGGAATAAATGCTCTTGGCTATAATTGTTAAATAATCTTTGGAGGGGTAGGTCACTCACTGAAGTGCTTTCTTATGTAAGAAATTTTATATTAAGGGAAAGAATAGTATTTGTAATTTTTATTGCAAGCTGATTTGGAAAACGTTGCAAAATATCTTGGAAGAATATTTGTGGAGATGAGAGGTTGGCAAGGGAAGGAGTAGTCCATAAACCTTTTAACTCGCTTTAGTTATTTTGTGTGTGCATATATATGCACATGTGTATATTTTGCTTCAAGTGCACTGGAGTTTTGATTTGTTGTTAGCGTAGTATGCAGTTGCTATGATAAAAGTACTTACTGTAACAACTAATTAAAATTACTTCTTTATATATAAATACAAAGATTCTAATGCCTTTACAAAGGGGCGTTGTCGGTGCAGTAGGATGTGTTGCTAAGACTTTTCTCTTTGTCTGAGATGAAAAAGCAAATAATTATATTTTAAATAATATAATGTTAACCTAAGAATTACTTTAGAGTCCATAAAGAAATTAAAAATAAAGTTATAAGGAATCAAATCTCCACCTTACATCAGAAATGCAAAAGCTTTGGTGTTGCTTTCAGTGATACAGAAGTTCAGCAGTATTTTATACTTAATTCTACAGCTTGAATTTATTCTGAAAGGTGCTGCATACTCTGGGACATAATTTAACAAGTGCAGTTACTCCTTTGCTTAAAATTAAAAAAATGCATCCAATGATTTGCTGAATGACTGCAAAACTTTACAATACCTTGCATGACTGAGTTTCAGGAAGTAAATGCTTTGTGGATCTACGCACTTCAATGAAAATAGAGACTAAAACCTCCCAATTAATGCCTGCAGAAGCTGCAATCAAAATATGCTTTTTGCTATTAATGTAGTAGTTGAATAGAATTTCCTCATGGTGTTGAAGTGGTTCCTTTCTCTTTTATATAATTTCTTGTAGCCTGTAATCGTTTGACTTGTAATTTCTGTGAAATCGTAAGTTCCTTCTGAATGTAAGATTGAATGTGAGAGGTTTATAAGGTGCAAACTTTTGTGTCTAAAGTCCAGTCCTGTAGCCTTTACTCGTTTGGACCTCTTTATTTTATTTCTGGTGTTTAGTGATTTGGGATGATTAAAAAACGTCTCCAAAACTAAAAGAAGAGAGAACTCATCTGTTGATAGACTGCATAAATACTTGCAAAATCTATATATTCTATAAAATAAGTGACATTTTAAAGGATATCGAGAAGCACACAGGAGGACTGCAAATACATTAATTTTAACTCTGAAACCATTTTGTTATGAACTTAACTTGCTGTTTACCTTAGATGAATCTCTACTTTTAGAAGAATAATTAACGTTTGTACTACTTTTTAATATAATGAATTGAAGCAACAGAATTTGAGTGGCACGCAGTATAGTCAGTACTTAAAAGCAGTTCATATTCTCCACAGGAGAAGTGAGGAGCTGAAGTGTATAAACTTAAAGGACCACACTGTTTATTGAACTTTTAGCTCTGTCCTAAGACTTTGAGGAATACTTGAGGATTAGTTTATAGAGGGATTACTGTGCATCTGTTAAACAGGGAAATGTCTGATGTGATCAAGAAAAATTCTGTCTGTGACATTTCCAGGCTTGAGTATACCTAGGAGAGTGAGCAGCATAAGTCCTATATGGAGAGCTTTCTGCCATCTCTCAAAATGGAATTAAATTTTTTTCTGTGTGTTTATTTGTGTCCTTTAACTGATATCTATAAGAGATTTCTTTTACAAGGTGATGCTTTTGATACTTGCAATATTAAGCCTACAAGGAGCAAAATATTTACTAGTTCTGATATCTTGGTGGTACACTAAGTAAGTGGTAGCAAGTGCAACTGAAAATGCTTCCTCGCTCTTTTTTCCTTCCCCACTTGTGACACCCAGGCATACAATTTGGCTATAGAAAGCAGCTTTCTACTAGATCCAGTCATTTAATGTACTTTATTGAGAGCAGTGCCTCAGCCAAAGTTTTTTCAAACATGCCTCTTAGGGTTAGCCAAAACTGACCTTAAGCTCTTACTTCTGCTTTCAGCATCATGAAAACCCCTGTTTAATAGCTGTGTTTCTCAAACCCTGAAAATTCATGCAAGCCACTGAGTAGGAGCCCATGGTGTAGGATTAAGTTCAGTGTAGGAAACAGAAACTTAGGGAAACTCAATAGAGTTCATACTCATTAGAGCTAAGTCTGGATATTACCACTTCTGAAACTAAATTAAAATCATATGCCTTTAACTTTACCACCTTTCACTAAGTTGCTTTCTATGCATGTGTTCGTAAGAATGGCATGTATTCCAGGAATGAGACTAAATCCTTTATGGATAGAAGCATAAAAAACCCCAAGGAGACGTTTCTTTTGATTGTTCTATGTTTTAATAATTGTGAGAGATTCAGGTAAATATAATGAAGTATCAGGTAAGTATCAAAAGAGGGTCCTTGTTGCAGTGACAGAAGAAGATGACAGTTGTCAGCATGTGGCAGAACAAGTGTCAAAAATATAGCAAATTGTCCATGCAGTGAGAACCCCTCTCACAAGATTGTCCTTGCTGAGACCCCTTCATGTTTACTTCTTTCAAAAGCAAATTGGTTCTCCTGTCTTGCAAAGAAGCTTTCTGACAGAAATTACATTTGCTGTATGCTATAGCAGAAACAGTCATTTGGTCAGATAGGAAGGAACGTCTGCCTGAGTCCTGTGCCTTTTGACAAGGGGTTTTACTATTAGTCTCTATTTTATTCAAAATGGATGACATACACTATAAAAAGCATGTTCATGCCATTTTACTTACTTCCAAACTGTGATGCAATCATTGACATTGAAGTTAGGAATCCTTTTGTTACTTTTGCATTTTAGATGCAGAAGTGGCACTCAGTTGGCACGGAGCCAAATACACTAACAGCAAAAGCTGCGTTGTTACCTTATTCTTCTGCTTCTCCTTATGTACGTTACTGACTGTTGTTAACTACAGTTTTTCCTCAGTTCAGGAAGGTTTTATGATTGTAAGGACCCCTCCCTGCCCCCATACACATATGCACACATACCACCAGCAGTTTAATATTTATGAAAGGTAAACATATGAAATGAGGACTATATTTAACTTGAGACATTTTTGGCACCTGGCCTATGCAATCTTGAAATGATATAGACAGTAAAAGAGGAGTAGAGTTTTGTTTTAGGAAGGACAATGCTATGAGTTTAGTGCATATGAAACCACAGTTCAGTGGTGGTTTTCAGGTCCTCATCATTTGAAGAAGAAGTTCTGTTATGTATTGCAAATTTAGGGCTAATAGGTATTCGATTCTTTACTGTGATGGAAATGGGAGGAAGGAAATCCAAAGAGGTTTTTCTTTTCTTCTGCTCTAGCTGCCTGGAACGTATCTTCTTTAGGAAAAGTGATGTTTTGCTAGGGCAACTTATTACTTTTTTTTTTTTTTTAATCTTGGTTTGCTTGCTGTTATTATTTGGTAAGTTGTACTGGAAATTACCTTAGCAAAAAAGTCAAATGTAACCTATTTTCCTTGGATAGACATGATACTGGAGCACAAGAAAATGAATGTCCAATAGCAGAGACAACTATGTGGCTCCTTCAGTGTCACAAATCTTGTCTTCATTAGAATTTTAACATGCAAAAATTGAGTGTGAAAGTCCTGAAAGAGCATACACACATACATCATGCCCACCTTAGGAAAGTAGGTTATGGCTTTATTTTAATAGCTAAGCAAGGTAAAGCATTAGCTTCCCTCCAAGTCTTATTTTGACACTCTAAAAAGTATTAAAGCTGGGATGAACTTTGTCTTCATTATTATTTTAACATATGCTAGCTAAAATATGTGAAAATCAATATACTTGATCTTGTGGATGTTTTCTTACTGATGAGCTGTCATCTTCAGTATAATATCTGTTTATTGTCCTTCCTTGTTCTTTATTTTTTCTTCTTCCTCTAACCTCTAGCATCAAGGACATTGCATATCCATTTATTTTTTAACTTTTAAGCTATTTCATTTGAAGCATAAAATCTTTACCTGGTAGTAAAAATTAAAGAGAGAGTTGACTCGCAAAAATGGATAGATGATCTTAATTTTTAATTGGCTAAAGAAATCTTACTAGACCGCCCTTAGGTAGTTTTGCTCCCTCTCCCCCGCCACTCCCTCAGGCAGAATTTTAAAGAGTATATCTTCCTGGAAAATATGAATTCACAACTCGCCCTGAGCAGGTTCAAATTCTTAGGAAAGAAATGC